TAGCTGCTGACACTGAGGCGGGGCGGGGGGGGGGGGGCGTGTTGATCCAAAGGTTCCTAATAGCTGAAAAGCAGTTAACAAGCAATTTCTGAAAATGATTAAAAAAGGAAGTATGAGAACTTAGTGTCCTTTCAAAGGCGCCGACTGCCGTTTGAGCAAGATGGCTATTCCCTTGTCTCCCAGAGGTCTAAACCTGCTGGAGACCTCTATCTTGCAGTCTCCTCACAAGGAGCAGCTGTCTGGGGCACTTGTGGGTAATCTCAAATCCTCTCCTTGTCCGGAGAGGACTTATTGAAGAGCTGGTCTACTCACTAGCTCACTATTCTGCCATGGTTGTTGGCTCCGCTTTTTGAAGCTGTCTTCAGTCCACCATTTCTTCCCTGGAAGTCATGGTCTAACACACCTGGAGGGCATTAGATCAGACAAGGTTGCTTCATAACCCAAGATCTAGTTCCAACTGCTTCACATGGATGTGCCTCATGTTTTCTTCTCATGACATTTTTTTCCAGGGCTTGGAGGTACCAAGTATATTTCTTTTGAGGAACGGCAATGGCACAATGATTGTTTCAACTGCAAAAAATGTTCCCTATCGTTGGTGGGCCGTGGTTTTCTCACAGAAAGAGATGACATCCTGTGTCCCGAGTGCGGGAAAGACATTTAAAAGATGAAAAGCAATTTTGGAAAAAACCTGTACTTACAATACATATGTTTTCAAATATACACAATGATGTGCATGAGTTTTGACCAAAAGTGCAGAAAGTAATGTTTTTTCTCAGCAATACATATTAATCAGTTAACACTAGCTCTTTTTGGGTGCCAGGCCTGAACACAATATACTAATATATACAAAGGAAACAGAGCCATGATTGCCGGTCACACCTGCAATTTTCTTGTATGCTTTAAGAGCCCATTCTTCAGACCTCAGCCTCCATTTATACAGCAGATTTGAGCACAGCATCTACTCAAGTTTGCCCACTTAGGTGGTAGCACCTAGCCAACATTGGCTGATCTTGAAAAGCTAAGAAGGGTCACACTGGTTTAATATTTGGATAGGAAACCACCAGGAAATCCCAAGGCCATAGGTTTGACTGAGAAATTAAAAAAAAAAAAAATCTTAAAAGAAGGCAGTAGCAAGCCACTTTGGCATTGCTGACAAGAAAAGTCCATGTCCATGAAGTCATCAAGGAGTTGAGCTCATTTGAAGGAGACTTTATTTTTTACTCATATTCACTTGAAAGCAAGTAAAAACATCACTGGAACAGATCCCTGATAAAGCAGGGTTTCAAATTGTGCAGAAAGATCTTATTGAGCTCAACTGGCAGATCAGGAACAAAGAGGTTTGGTCTGGACAATGGAGGGTGGCTAACATGGAGAACCATATTCTTATGCTTGTGTAGGCATTACACCTAAGGAGTTTTTTTCTTTTTCTTTTTTAGAGTGTAGAAATGTATTGGAGTAAAGTAGATATAATGGACAGAGGGTAATTTTTTATATCAATTGTCAAGCTATACTCATTTATGAATCCATAACAGTCAAATACAAAATTTGAGTGATTCAGATACAATCATTATAGATAGATAAAATAGGACTTTCTGAATAATTACAACTGCCACTATTTAGAGTGTTGATGGAGGAAAAACAAATATTTAAACAATTGTATAGATGATAATATGTAGACTAATTTAGGTACAGATCAGTAATGCAGTGTTTGTGCCATGCCTTAAAAAGAAAGATTAAAGAATGTGATTTTCTGCATCAACAATTTGGAACTGTTTCCACTGAAGCCAATGGGACTTATTTCCAAACACATGAACTTGTTTCCAAATAAATGCTCAAGTTTAGGTGGATGCAAATATACAACACATTATTGCATGATGTTGCAAGATCATTGCACAAAATACATTTTTGATTCCTAATAGATGTTTTGAAATTTCATTGCACCTTAGAGTTTGCAAAGTAATAAATGTATTTCTAGCAAAGTCTGTTGTATTTTTGTGAATTCTGACATTTTAATAAATGTTAACCGTTAAGGTAAAGCTTGAGTGCAGCTTTTTCTTTAAAAACATGAATCTACGTAAAAAAGAACATCTGATGATTTCTAAAGAAGCCAATTTTCAGAAACCAGTACAAAACCAAAGCACTTCATCATTACGAAGTATATCACAATATCTCTGACATGGTTCTCTACTTCATAAGGAGATAACAAATTGCCCTTATTTCCTAAAATATTAGAGCATAATGCAAATTTATCTTCCAATTCTATTTCTTGTGCTGCATTATATTTTGCCTATTCAATGCACTTCCTTATTTGTGCAGACTTTGGTCACAACAGATGTTCATCTAACAGGTGACTCACTGTATAATCCCTTTACAGTATAAATCTACTCAGTTAATGTTTTACTGAGAAATACACATCAGTAAATAAATGAGACTCTTTGGTAAGCACACTAAAAATGCAGCTGAGCAGGAACATTAGGCCTCCCCTCCCTGGACGTTACTGCACATGTTAAGCCTCTTTCCCAGTCCAGGGATGGAGACTACTTTCCCCAAAGAGCTGTGCTAAGCCCAAGCAATCATGATTGGCTCTGCAGGGCAGCCATGGGCGTGGCCAGAATTCAAGGCAAGTGGAGATAGATGGATCATGCCATATGTCTGAACCACTCTGTCCCAAGACTCCGGTCAGCTGACAAAGAACCAACAGTACAATAAAAACAATGCACAAAATATGTAATTATAATTGAAGAGGCATTTAAAAAAAGCTATCTAAAAAGTTATCACCATATCCATACCCCAAACATCTTTATCAAAAGCCCAGCAGAACAAAATGTTCGCTGCCTTCCTAAAGCCAAGCAGGCAGTGGGGCAATTTACCTTCACCAGCAGGGGTGGGAATGAACGGTTGTACAGAGAGGGGGCCACAACAGAAAAGGTTTGTTTCTGAGCTTCCAGCCTCTGATCTCATGTGGGATGGAAATGCAAAACATCCCTTCCCAGGAAGAGAATCTGTTTCCTTTGCCCAAGATACCATTTTCACTTTAGCTACATTGCCCTCTCCTAACATATCTTGACGGTCAACCTAGAGCAAATTGAAAAATAGAAGCACGGCGGCTGCAGCCTACAACATGATTTTCCATACTACTGGCTCAGAAATAAAATAATGCTACACATGGAGATGACAAAATGCAGTGCGGTGGCTACATGAGATTACACTTCTGAGAGGACCACATTAATCTGTTGTCCTAACATGACCTTTGCTAGCTGGACTTCAAGACAGTGCCTCCTGCGCATTTATTTCATAGCAGGAGTTACTAGCAATGCTTTTGGGCTCAATCAAGGTGACAAGAAATAGTTCACACTGTTTTTAAGAATTGTCTACTGAACAATCCCACTTGGTTTATCATCTCAACCTACCGTAAAAGCTTTTCAAAAGTGATCAGCCATTATGTTTGAAAATACTTCGAAATATTCATAATTCAAAGCTTTATATCAACTAGTCCCCTTCCCCCAGATATCTTTATGGCTGCTTCACCAGATAATCACTGGTGATAATCACATGAAAAGTGACATGTGAACAAATCCTTTGGAATCTAAATCTAAAATTCTCTGTCTTTCTATCATCTCCATGACAGGAACACAAATTATTGTGTTATTTTATTTATTTTAATTAGAACATTTGGTGGCCACACATAATGTTATCTTGTATGGCCTTTGTAAGGATAATTGTGTTTATTTGAATCTAAAAATAAAGTCTGGGAACTACTCATTTGGAATATATGCTGCAAATCCTAAAAATGCAGAATACACCCAGGTTAAAAAAAAAAGTTTTACAAATCTTATAATATGTATTGACTAAAGATGCACTTCAAAGGATAATAAAACCAAGCTATGATCAAGGGTGCCAAATTCTAAAAAAATTAACAAAAATATTTTGTATGTTATTTACAGCACAGACTGTATGCCGCTTATAAAGAATATTTAAATGATTCCAGTATTATAACAGTTGTGTTAGATGTACCTTAATCAACTGGAGTACTGGTATAGATGCTTAATTTTACTACACAAAAACTCAGTTGAATCAGTCCCACAAGGAAGATAAAACTATAGCATAAAGATTGCCCATACAAGAGGTCACACTTAATTTAATTTAATTTAATTTAGATAAACTAATAAAAAGACAGCAATTCAAATACAAAAACACAAAATTAAACTGTGTACTTAAGTAGAAAACTTGCACAAGTGTTTAAGAAGAGGCAAATTCAACTACACTTCATTACACCATTCTTTATATTCTGAAGGGTTCAGTGATGTCTTGGGGCACAATGTAGGCAATGGAAATTGTATGTCAATAACGCCATCCTAAATGTGAGTAGTCAAATGTAAGTTAAATGGAACTTACTGTGAAGTAGTAGCATACTGGACTGTAGGCTAAATCTTATAAATGTTCATAAGCACTATGTATTTTATCAACCTTTCTGATATCAACACAATTTAAATTTGGGTAGATTTGTTTTTTTTCTCCCCAATACAGTGAGCAATTGTTACAACAATTATATTTCACTTTACTTCTGCTTCATGTTTGTTGTTAGGAAGCTGTTGAAATATAAAGGTTTTGAAACTAAATTATCTTTATCACTGAGATGCTGCAAGCATCTTCAGAGCCTTTAACTAATGCAATTTCATTAATGCATATGACATAAAACTATATTTTGTAGTTAAATAAGCCTTCCTTAAAAATTTAAGTGTAGTATAAAATACCTGTCACATACTGTATAAAAATACAGTTCTGGTTCACACAGTTCTTTTTTTCTCACACAACTTGGGGGGGGGGAGGGAGGGATTCTGCCTATGTTATCTCCAAAGACAATAGAAATCCATTTGATCTTCCATTTTAACAAAAACTTCAATTTGAAGCAAAGCCAGTGCACAGTTCAGGGTTTTGCTTATAAAACTGGAAAGGGCCCAGACATTTTCTTTAAAAATGATATTGGCACCCATGAATTAGAAATATTTTTCCAGGCCTTTCGACAGAACTATTCTGTGCAAATATCTTGGGAAAACCAGCAGAATGGGGAAGCAGTCTTCCATACCATCTAAATATACTTGTATATATTTTAAAAAATATACTGTTGTACAACTGAACAGGAACAGTTATGAACTCACACAGTTTTCTCTATCAAATCATGCAAAGACTTGATCTACAGGCTACAGTTAATAATGCCAAAGAAAGGCTGGTAAAACAATTTTGTTCTACCAAAATGAACTTCTAAAATGGGAGGTAAATAATTCAAAGTGCAACAGAAATGCTCTCAAGTTGATGATGAAGATACGGTGCCTCCTTTATACCATGAAGTTCTAAGTATCACGAATAACCCACTGCAATCTGGATCTCTGTTTAATACAATTCTTCTATACTGAAATGAAGACTAAGCATTATTTACATTCCTAACCCTTGTAGATTCATGGCCATGTTACATGCTGGATCTTCTTTTTTGATTCAGTAGGCTTTAGGCCATTCTGGAGGGAGAAAAGAATTAAATTATTTAAGGAGACGTGTTAAAACATCCAGAACTTGGTTTCTGTTGCCATCTGGTGGCTAAAACAAACAAAAGTGTCTTAAAACCTTCAAAAAGGACTTCAGTTTTCTATAACATCTTTAGATTTTTGCCTGGACTGAATAGAATAAGGGAAATATTAGTATGTATCCCAAAATCATTGAAGGAAGTTCAAAGAAGGAACATTTATCAGCTTTACTTCTTGCAGGCATCCGTATCCTCAGAGACACAATGAACAACGTGGAGTTGGAAGGTGAGTTGGGGGCAGAGGTTGTAGCTTCTCTAGAACAGAGGGCCCATCTAGATATGTGAGATGTGAAATGGGGTCTCTTGGGATACTAATGCCTCCTTCCCTCAGCAGGTCTTCAAGTTCCCTTCTCCTAGAAGTCTCTGCGCTCCATCCCACATAGCACAGGATTTGAGGCAGCACAGCTGCTTCAAGGTAGAAGAGGCATTCCTTCTCTGAAGTTCCTTAAATTAAGGTATTTTAAGGTCCCAGTGAATGGGAATCTGGAACGTGGGAAGGGAGAATATGGATTACTATATATTTAGTATAGATCTCAGTATAGATCAATGTCCATAAGAAAACTTACTTTCCTAGAAAACAGATGTTTTCAAAACACAAATGTCAAATGAAGCTTGTGCTGTTTCTAATAAAATAAAAATAATTAGCTTTACACGTCACACAGACTTTTGTAAAGCAGTTTCAGGGCAAAGCATTTGAATTGTTTTGTGCCCACCTGAAAGTTATTTTTAACAATAGTAGAACTCTATCAAGATAAAGCAGCAGCAGCAACAACGTGGTAATAATGAACAAGGGTCTACTGGCCTCCTGAACTAAATTAGAGGAAAAAGGGCTGCTGTAAGTTTGAACGTCTGTTGCTAGAAATGACAGCTGCTAATTTATTTGACATTAATTGGGACATCATTCAAGAGTAAAATCATAAAATAGTGCAGATATACTTACCGATGAATCCAATTCTTCTTTTGGAGCAGCTCTCTTTAATTTCACCACAGTAGCTCCAGTGAGAGGCTCTAAAACTGATGGCTTTTGACTAGATGACATACTAACTATAATATTGTTCTGCTTAGCCTCATTATTCCTAGATTCCATTTTAATGTCCGATGAAAAAGTGGGAGCAGATATGCATGATGAGGAATTTGAAGAACCAGCCAGTCTTTTGCACATGATATTGGTACTTCCAGACGTCAGGAATTTCAGACCATCAGCAGCTCCATTTTCAGTCTTCTTTACTTTAATACTTGTACTTGTTGAGCTACCATCAAACACAATGAGAGGCCTTTTTCTTAGATTTTCCACTGCCATAATGCTGAACAAGGAAAGGTAACATGAAGAATTCATTACAGATATGAAATCAAAATTACTCAGTGCAAAGCCACCCCATTCTAAATAACTATTTGGAATAAAGTTCAGTTGATTTCAACATAACTTTTTCCCAGATCTTCATACTTAGATCAGGACTGTAGCCATTCAAACTGATGAGGAATTAATCTCACACAAATGGCAATGCTGTTTGTATCTTCAGATGTGCATTTATTTCACAATTAATCCAGTCGAAGAACAGAGAAAACACGAAACTAATCACTTCAAAACATTGTAATAAAGATTGTCAAAGAACTGGACAAACCAACATTGAACTAGCCCAAATCTGCACATATATTCTCCAAGGAGTAATTCAAAGGAGGACAACAATCCAGTCTTAAGATCCCAGAGCCCACAGAATTAAATTTCTTGCTTCAGCATCACCACTTCTGAACACTAGAGCAATGCATTTACTTAGAATTTTTTTTTCAGAACTGGTCTACTTTCAGGTGGCGGTAGTTCTTTTTAATTATGATTTGCATCAGTGCCACCAATCTCAGAAAAGATGCTACACCTGGAAAAACCAGCTAGTTAATAAAGTATAAATATATGTGGCATACCTCTTATTTACTTAATTCCCTGGACGCAGTTAGGTACTTGGGCTATGCATGAAATATACTACATACAGATAAATGAAAGCAGTTCCATGCAGTTCATCTGACTTGATCTCATTACTAATTTATAAGACTGCTGACTGCCCATTTCTCTTCATAATAATGTGTGTAACACTGAACTGCCAATACAGACAACAAAATAGTTGTTTTATTTGCTAAGTGACAAAGAATAGGCCAAATTAATCAAGGTTTCCCTTCTTCAACAGCAAGCTTTTTCTCAAATAAAGCTGAGAGTCTGAAGGCACAGAGAGCTCCCATCAAGGTGTGATGCTTAGCCAGGCTCTTCCCTGAGGGCCCTATGGCTCTATTACCACCAACTGTCCTGTGAAAAGAGGCCCTCGAGAGCCAGGTGAATCCCTGTGACCCACAGGGGGATTACCACTTGCTGCCCTTTGGGCTCTTTGTTAGTTATCAATTACTATTTACTGTATTTTCATTTATAATTGTTTCCTTACTTGAAAGACATTTTGGGAGGATGCAAATAATAGCAATTTGGTGTAGTGGTTAAAGCGCTGCCCTAGAAAGCAGGAGGCTGTGAGTTCTAGGCCTCCTTTAGGCATGAAAGCTGGCTGGTGACTTTGGGCCAGTCACTCTCTCTCAGCCCAACCCACCTCACAGGGTTGTTGTGGGAGAAATAGGAGGCAGGAGTATTACATACGTTTGCCACCTTCAGCTGACCAAATTTTAAAAAAAGGGCAGGATAAAAATCTAATAATACATTAAAATGCAGGAAATTGGGCTAACTTAAGATAAGGTGGTTTTCTATTACGCCTCAGACTTTTGAAAGATTCTGAAGAGAATCCAAGTACTGTAAGTAAAGCAAACTTACCTTTGGGTGCCATGTTTCAACACTTGTTGACCTCTTTTCTTTTCCATTAGTTTTCCCCATCTGCTTTTGGGTAAATCACGCTGAGGCAATGGTATGACATGTTGAATATACAGATCTGTAAGGTCATCCTTACTGATTCTCACTTCATCTTCCACTGGGATATTCTTCTGATGAAAAGCAATGCAAACCACGGTGTTATGAATATTACAGTTCGTCATATGCTATATAGTACTTCTATGAAATATACTTTGTACAATAGATAGAAAATCCCAAAAGATTCCCTGGCATGTTTTTATAGTTCAGGGTTTCTTTCACCACATGGAATGCACATTTTTAATTTGGTCAAACAGAAGGAGGCTATCTTCAATAATAGTAGCTGGTTATCAAATATGATAGAAGGCCTCCCTAGTGTAAAAATTCTGGTTACTCCACACATACGCATTACGCTTCTACAGAAGAGAAAGGTAGTGAAGTTCATCAATCCATATATAGTAACTCCACAGTAATTTAAAATTTTACTGTATGTTAAACATGCAAACATTTTTGTACCTTCTCAACTGTTTTAATGATGAAATCTACCTCATAAGCTTCTCAAAGTAAGCCATGCACCAAAGCTTTCAGGATAATTGCAAATTACAATGACTAAAATAATCCTGTTTGGACTGTTTCTACAGGTCACTTATTTGGAAGATCTGCTAAAGCTTTCTTTGTTCAGCTTTAAACAGAATGCCAATGTGCATATTTTTACCAGATGGGTTTTTTACCAAAACAAAAATGAAGCAAGAGAAGCTATTCATTTGCTTAATCCCATCACATCATGCTGTTGGTAAAAGTACAAGGGGGAAAAAAAACCCAAAGAAGGGCATCTCTGATGGATGCACCATTCCATGGACATATAACACTAGTTTCTTCATGATTGGGAAAAGGAATACTGTATAGTGGAAGCCATTTTTAAAAGTTGGAAGAAAGAATTGTGGGCAACTTGATCAAAGAGACAGCCAAGGCCAGTTTGGCACTTATATTTTTCCAGAAATGTAAAGTATAAATACATGTATCCTGAGCAGCACACGGGGTGTATCTCCCAAGAGGTGGGATGCAGGCAACATTAGGCTGGCTTGCAAGGTAGTCTATAAATTATGATTATGGACTAAGTTATTGACTTGCTCCTTTAGGGAGAGTGCCACTATATGGCTGTTCAGCAAGCAACCAGTCTCCCTTAATGCAATTCAACCTCAACTTGTTTTGTAGCATCCAGAACCTTACCATCTTTAGACATCAGGTAAATACTTTCATAGCACCTCCTGTTTGGCTCCAGGAAGACATATACAGCATACTGATGGTACCTCACCCTGAACTGGTGGATGATCTCTCCCAGCCACTTCAATAGCGTGGGGGAGAGCACCCAACTCTATGGTATTTCATATAACCACTATCAATTGGTACTGATCACTCTGGAAAGAGCAGAACCACTGTAAGACAATGTGCCCAATTCCTGTATGTGGTCCAGGAGGATAGAAGGGTCAGTGTATTAAAAGCAGATGTGAGATCTAAGAGGTCAAGGACAGCCGCACTCCCACCATTACTGTAGTAACAGTAACCAGTACTGTTTTGGTCCTATACCTAGGCCAGAATTCTTACTGAAAGGGGTTTTGGATCATCAAATTAATCTAGGATTCTTTGCAGCTTAAGTCCCAGAACCTTTTCCAAAATATATAGAAAGAGAAAGCTGGAGATTGGACATAAACTGTCTAATACTGTGGGGTTGAGAGTGGCTTTTTCAAGTAATGTGGCATTGTCTGCTTCAAAGCAGCAGACACCACACCCTACCTGTAAAGAAATTTAGACCTGACCTCCAGGAAGATATGAGTGAGTCGTTAAGGAGAGACTTGGACAAGTGATTACAGGTAGCCCTCACTTAACGACCATTTGTTTAATGATGGTTCAAAGTTTTGACGGCCTTGGAAAGGGTGCTTTACAGCTCATAAAGCACTTCTGGCCATCGTAAAATGTTGCACCGCCCTGCCCCCACAGTCACGTGGCAGCATTTCAGGTGCTTGGCAACCAGCTTGCATTTACAACCAGTTGCCAAACGCCCTGCGACCATGTGATTGCCATTTGCAATCTGACTGACTTCCCCAGAAAGTCAGTAGGGAAGCTGGTAGGGAAGGTTGCAAGCAGAGGGGTGGATGGGAGCTAAAATCCTTCTGCAGTCTTCAGGAATGGAGCTCAAATCCTGAAGATTTGAGCTCTGTTCCTCCAGTCCCACAAAGGATTTCCCCTCCATGCACAAGGGAAACCCTTCAGTGGGCTGCAGGAATGTTTAAGAGCAAAAGGGCTGCCTGCTGGGAGGATTTCAGCTCTGCATTCAGCTTTACTTAACAACCTAAGAGATCGCTTAACAACTGCAACCAGGAGTGCCCGAATTGTGGTTGTTGAATGAAGCAGTCATGTGGGCATGTTGCTTAACGACTGCTTGGCTCAACGATTTGAGATTCCAGTCCCAACTGTGGTTGTTAAGTGAGGACTACTTGTACACAGTCCAGAGACCTAAGAAAGTGTGAGAAAGAGACTGAAAATAACCTGCCTTGATTTTCTTTGGTATAAGATGGGATAGAGAAACTTGGACAGGCTTTCAAGATTGTGTTATTACACTCTTGTAATAACAATAAAGCAGCATTCCTGAAATCCCTGCACTGTCTGTTTCTCGACCTGGTCTACTTCAACGGACTAATGCTATCTCAGAAATCCACTTACTATTGCCTCTGGAACACATTCTTGAACCCCCATTTTAGCTTCCCAAAGAAGCCAGGAGGGGCAGGGATCCTGCCCACAGGTAGCAAAATTCAAAATGTTACAAACTTTGTCCCCATCTTCAGAGTTAACAAGACTGAAACTTCACAAGATGTTACCCAAATACTGTACTTGCTGTACCACCATTCATTCAGCAACCAAAGTTACGATGCCACTGAATGAATGGTACATATGCCCATTCCTCAAAATTACAGTCATGTGATCAAAATTCAGGCACTTGGCAGCCTGCCTGCATTTCCAAACACAGGGTGCACTTCAACCCCCCCACCCACCTATCTCCCCTCCCATCTCTTTTGGCCACTCTGTGTTACATTCTGTGCTCTATCGCCCTGCACTCTGCTGCCCCTGCCACCCTGTGCTCTGCCCTGCACTCCCACCGCCCCACCACCTCTGGCCAGCAGTTACCTCATGAAGGGCCAGGCTGGGTGCACAGAAGAAAATGTGAAGGTCAGCTGGGAGTGACAGGGGTGCAGGGTGGCAGAGTGGCAAGGGTGGAGGAGCGCAGGGCAGCAGGGGCAGTGGGGCACAAGGCAGCCAAAAGGGCAGAGATGAGGGGGAGATAGGCAGGTGGGGGGAGTTGAATAAAGCAAGCACAGCAGGGCAGAAGGGTGAAATCCTGGCCTAACGACCACAACCGGGACTATTGAAACTGCCATCGCTAAGCAGAGTGGTCACGTGATGTTTTGCCTAATGATCACTTCACATAGCAACAGAAATTCCAGTCCCAATTAGGGTAATTAAGCGAGGACTACCTGTACCTCCTCTGGTACCATCAACATGATATCCAGTTGATTGTATCAGCAAAATGTCTTGCAAATCTATCACAGCTGCCTGAAGGAAGATCTACTGACCCTCCATCTCTCAGTAGCATTCAGTTCACTCTAAACAAGGCTGCTGAAAGCCATTCCAGTGATGCAGTAAGGACTGAGAAATATTGATGTTTCGGTGCCAAATACAGCGCTGTTCCTATACTCAATTGCATTTGCTCTTTAATTTCCACAAGTACTCCTGATGTCTTTTCTGCTGCTTCATTACCTGGACCCCATCAATAAACCAGAGTGCCTCCCAGGATTTGTAAGAGGAAGGGGCTACATAAGTACAATATTCCATATTCCATATTTCAAAGGCAAAAAATAGGATTGTGAAAACTGCCACTATCTCACTGGGAAACTCCAAATGCCTGAATCTGAACAAATCCATAAATGGGGGTGGGATAAGGCCTTATCTGGTCCATCACCCCTGCAGCCCTTTTTTCAAGCTGACCATAATGCATTCAAACCATCACAAAAGAGTGGTAACCATGCCTATGAAACTCTTGTGTTAACATTAGTGATATGCTGGTCATGGAACTGCATTGCTTTCACATACAGACAATCCCATGTTGCTGGCTGAGAACCCAAAGTCTTTGAATCTAATATTAAACTGTATGATGAAATGAGGAATATGGATCTGAAAATTAATGTACCAAAGACCAAGAGAACTGTGTTTGACCAGAAAAATGAACAACTGCAAATTATACATAAAGGGCAAACAATTGGGGCAAGTAGATAAATTTGTGTATCTTGGAAGAATGTTGACTAAGGTAAGGAAATATATGAGGAACTTTAAGATGAGCAACAGTTGGCAAAGAGATAATGTGGTTTGGGGTTTGTTGAAAAAAAGGAATTCTGTCAAAAGAAGCAAAAATGGCTATCTTCAGAGTATGCTTCTGCCCAATATGGTTTATGCAAGTGAGGGTAAGGTATGTCAGGAGAAACATAAAAAGAACTTGAATGCAGTGGGGATGAATTGCTTATGAAGTGTATATGATAAACCAAAAAGAAATAGGGTCAATGGATGATGAATGAACAGAGACTAAGTACAAATATGAGTGACCAGAGGAGTATACTGAGAAAATAAATGAGAATTTTAAAAATAGTTTTTATTAAAATTTATATGCCGATTATTCTTTTGAGTAGATGTGAAATACATAAAGGAAGACTGAATGGGTTGAGCAAGGGGGACACTGGGCTAGGTTGGCTGGAGTTCAGGCACCTGAAAAAAGCGGGAAGTGAACATTTTAAAGAGAACAAAATACCAATAGAAGAGAATATGTGTAGCTCAGGGTTGAACTGTGGAGTCCTTGGAGTTCTCTGAGCTTGGTTGTTAGCACTGAAGATGTTACCTAGCCGGGTAATGAAACATTTGCAAGAAAACAACCAAGCTCAGAGAACCCCAAGGACTCCAGAGATAAAAGTAAGTATGAAGTGGAAGTAAGGAAGGTGTGCAAGGAAAGAAATGTAGGGAGAGGTATAGAAGATGGTGTTGGTGTAAACCAGATTCACTTAATTTTCTTTTTTCTTTATCTTTTCTCTCTCTCTTACTAATTTTCTATGGTTTGTATAACACTGCATAGTCCAAAATGAAACGGCAGGATCCACTGTGCACTTCTAAATGCAAAGATGTGCAGATCTGCACCACAAAAACAAACCCCCAAACAACAAACCGCAACCCAGCAACAGCAACACATCTCCTAGGGAGCCAACAGGAGGCTGTGCGCCCAAGGCAAAAAATAACAGGACAGGGATAAGAATTGGTGCTTCTGGGGAAGACTTATGGCTACAGTGACCATATTTTCTTGAAAAAAAAAATAGAGACAAACCCGAAAAAGGGACAAATCTGAAAGGTTGATAAAGATTGTTTTAAAAAAATGTCTATAACGTTGCTTTCCAAGGAAAACTCAAAAGCAGAACCAAGAGAACGGATAATTAAATTAAATAAATCGGAAGGACAGCTTTCTGAAATAAAAGACTGTCCTTTATTATAAAGGACGTGTGGTCACTGTACTCATGGGGCAAACTTTTTTTACTAGCTTGTGTTCCTGCGCTGCTACCAACCGCAGGGGAGAATGCCCGTCTCCAGGCAGGGCAGGAACGTCGAGCGAGCGTTAAAGCGGGAGAGGAGGCCAAACCCTTTTCCCAGGGCTGTGGGCAACCCAAGTATGCCCGGCACAGAGCGCTGGGCACGGCGGGCGGTGGTATCTGGGAGCCCCGAGCCCAGGCCGGCCTCCCTCTGCCCCGCTTCCTTCTCTCGCTACCTGCTCCAGCGTCAGCAGCAAGAACTCCTGCGAGAGCAGCTCCGGGTGCAACAGGAGGTCCGAGTCCGACCGCGTCACGTCGCCGCTTCCCTCCTTCGCGGAGCGCCCTCGGCCCCCGAACGCCGCCATCTTTCCGAACGTGATCCTGATTGGCCACCTGAACATTCCTTCGGAGGCTCCTTCCGGTGACGCGCGTCGCCCGCGGCAAGGCGAGCAAGGTTCGGGGGAAGCGTCCCAGAGATAGGAAAACTAGAGCGAAGGTGTCCGCTTCCAATTGGATCACTTCCGGGTTCCGTTGGAAGTGAGCCGCTCCTCACAGCTTTCTTGATGGCGCTTCAGCCATCAAGACCACCTTTGAGCAAAAGCTCAGAAAAAATGCAGAGCTCTTTACTGTCCGTGTTTGGGCTGATCCAATGAATGGAACTTCCCGTGTGAAAATAAGCCTGTTTTAAGTT